AATGAGATATTGTCCTTCACACTACTCAAAATTTCAATTAATTTATTTGTTTTATAGACTAATTGTAACAACATACATACACACTACATACATTTACAGGTAACTCTTTGGAAAATACTTTACATCATGGAAAAGTGTACTGAAAATCAGCTGCATAATCAACATCATGTTTTACATGTTAATGAAGCCACAACTAAAGTTGATAAAGCCTTAATATGATTGCAGGGAATTAGAAGAAAAAAAGAATGTCACAATAGCATAAAATAACAACCTATACAGAGACTTCAAGAAATATTCATAACTACCTTAGGTACAGATGTTTTTTTCCTGAAAAGCAATGATTTAATATTGATTTGTTTTCTGAGCAAATATACATTTGATAATCCACAACAACATCTTTGAAACCTAATGTAGGTTGAAGTTTTAGAAATAATCTTCTCGTAAGCAATCAAAACGACAATTTATTTTAATGCTCTTATGTACTCTCAATTACAATGCACATATACATATAATTAGCTCTAAAATACATCTGTAATCAGGTCTTTACAAATACATCAGAGAAGTTGTAAAATGAAAAAGACAATACATTTTAGAATAAAATTATATCTTTATATAGCTTCTATTGTGCAACACTCAGTGTAAGGCAAAGGGCTCTGCATGATAGGAATAAATCTGCTATTACAGAGATTTTGAAATTGTATTCAGTTGCATGTCATTAAATAACACACTATAACTTTCACACTTGATTTCACTACATATGTATAAAGTCAACAGGATGGCATGAATAAGTTGTGTACATTTCTTTGTGAGTTCCTGATAGGGATTTATGCAAGATCAAAGTCATGGCAAAGTGTGTGTGTGTGTCTCAAGGCTGTTGCTGATACTGGCTCTCCGTGGCAGTGTAAAAGTCCTCCAGTATACTCTGCAGGTACTCAAAGGTGGGCCTGTCCTCTGGCTTGTTCTTCCAGCATTCCAGCATGATGTCATAGAGCTCTTGAGGACAGGAGTCCAGACGCTGCATACGGTAACCTCTCTCCAGAGCACGGATCACCTCTGGATTTGTCATACCTAAACACACCGTAAACAGTTTGAGCATCTGCTGTAAGTACAAATTTAGTTTTGTGTCATTCTCTGGGAATTGTGCAATTTGAGCTTAACAATTTAAGCATTTTCTAAACTGCTTTTTAAAAAGGTTATTGTTGAAATGTCATATTGAAAAATCATATTTTCTCACTTCAGACTCAGTATAGCAAGACCATAGCTAATATTACTGCACCAGCTATGATAAAGCCTGAAACTTACTTCTGTTTGATTTAATTTTATTAGGTCATTCCCTCAAAATATGATGACGGAAATATCTAACTATTATTTTTAAAAAGGGAAATGTCACAGTATAACAGCGTTAAACAGAGCTTTTCTTAGTCTATGAATGTAATGATGATGAATAGACACATGCAGATAAGCTGCTATTCATATGAAAAACAAAGATGTAAAAATACACTGTAAAACTAAAAAGAGAAATGTATTAAATGTGATACCATTCAAAAGTTTGAGGTTGGTAAGAATAGCTTTATTCAACAAGGATGCATTAAATTGATTTCTATTTCATATTCATTTTCTATTTATTAATGTTGAATGCTGAAAAAATATTTCATGGTTTCCACAAAAGTAGCAACACAACTGTTTTCAGCATTGATATTAATAAGAAATGTTTCTTAAGCAGCAAATCAGCATATTAGAATAAT